CCACTGTTTCCATTATATCTATCATACCCATCATCATCTGAATCGTTTGGCATCTCTTCTTCGGAATCATTGTCGTGACTACAGTCACTATCATCATCTACCACATCTGGTACCTTTGGAATCTCTTTATTCGCCTCTTTCACTTCCTCATCTTCGGAATAAAAATACACATCGTCATCATTGTCTGCCTTGGCGATTATTCCAGACTTTTTAGAATCCTTCTCAACTGAATCATTCGCTTCTTCTTCCTTAAAATAATCTGTAATATCAGATGTGTCACTAAAATTATCATCTGAGGGGTCATTAGCTGATGTATTGGCTATGGTCGAGGCGATTTCATTCACAGGACTAGTAGTTGTTTTCGATTTGACCTGTTCTATTATGTATTCGATTTGAGGATTAGTGAGCCTTGAAATTTTATCAGCATTACAAGTGATCCGCTGAACCATATGCCATCCTATACCATTAACCTTTTTCAAGGTTATAGGATCATATTCAAACCCAAATAACTTATTGATTTTTCTTGCCTTAGAAGTCCTTACACGTAAATATTCATCTGAAATGTCCGTAAGGTATGGTTTTATTTCAGCATAAATTTGTGTTCTTGCAGTCTTATCCGCAAGTTTCTTATCCTCAGATCTAAGCTCCACAACTTTATTTTTGAACCTTTCCGAGAAGCAACCCCAGGATGAAATCTCTGCTCGCTTTGCTATAAGCGATTTTTTTCTTGCACTAACTGCTTGGGAGAATAAATTGGCAAGCCTCTTAATATCTATAGATCTGGAAACTATGGTTTTGGGAGGAGAAAACTTTATAAACTCTAGAGGTTGACTACTAGATAAGAATAGCTCTTCTAACAAATCTTGTACGAATTCGGTTACTATGCTCGAAGATGTCAGGCTTTTGAGTGCAATTGATTCCATTTTATTTTTAGCAGAATCGATCTGAAGTGATTCCAAAATGGCTGGTTCTTCTGTTAGATTAGTTTTTACCTCATGTAGGATGATTTTGGTATCACTTTGAGTCTCTGATTTTTCTAATTCTTCTGAAGCAGAATTCGCAATATCTTTCTGGACTTGAAGTGGTTCATTAGCATTTGCTAACCTATCTTTGGTAACTATCTTTTCTGATTCTCGCAGGAGTTTCTTCTCCTTATTGTATCGCCTAATATCATCACTAATTCTTTTCTTATCAACCTCGTTCAAGAAATCGTCTATTCTCTTATCTTCCAATGGCTCTTCATGATGTTCTGCACTTGAATTGAAGTTAGATAAGTTGTTATTAGGAATATCATCATCTTGCAACTGCTTTTATTTCAATTTCGCAACTCTATCATTAGTATTCTCAATTCTAACATCATGTTAGTTATTTTCTTCTATCATCTGCTTCATAAGCTTCACATTTCTGACCTCTATCTCAACATTTCTAGCTTCAACCTCAGCAAGCTTCTTTTTAAGTTCAGGAATCTCAGAATTCTTGGCCTCAAGTTCAGCTTTAAGCTCAGCTTTCTCAACCTCAAGCTCGGTAATACGTTGCCTTAATGAATCTATTTCAGTTTGCATGTCTATGTATTATCAAAATGTTAGTATTCAAAATTGGTGAAAATAGGTAGATTATTTAGTCAACCATAAACTGGTTTACGGTTTTTTTGCCAAGAGATATTTTAATCTCATCAGTATCAATACCATATGACCATATTTCCCGGAGCTGGCTCTGTTCTTCAGTATCACATGGTAATTCTATTAAGCTTAAAATTTGTGGGAGATCCTTTTTTCTCATAAATTCAGCTTGAAAAATAAAAACTATCTCAATAAGCTAATAGGGTAAGCAAGCAGGGTTAGCTATTTTCTGCAGTGCTAAAGGTAGAAGGGAGGGTGAATAGCTAC